AAATTTGATATATTATACGAAAATATTTTCTGAACAAAATTCGGTTTATTCATTATATATGCATGTTATGTTTACTATTTTACGAAAAATTAATTATCGTTGGTCGAATTTTCAGATATATTTCATAGACTATAGTAATATTTAATATTAATGTAACAAATTTGAAGTTTCAAGTTAATGTGATCAAATTAATCTTATATTGTATTTTAACATTTAAATTTAAGAAGTTTTTGGAAATATGAATCTTCTAACCATAGCAACTTTTGAGAAGTGGTAATTTGTTTAGTAATATATTGTAGTTCATGAAGATATTATTTATGTGTGAACTATTGAAAATATAAACAAATATAATTACCTAAATACAATGTATCTCTTTTTTTTCAAATTTTCTGTATTTCCTGAAAGTGAGCATGGTTTTGTATAATTTGCATACTGTTGGATCACTTTTTCCATCTAATAACCACGAGTCAGTTTTAATAGAAAATTATATGTAGTATAAAATAAATATCAATTACAGTATATATTAATTGATACTTTTAAGCCAGCTAAAATATTAAGTTAGTTAGTAAATACATTTATTTGGTAGTACTTAAATCAACGAAAATAAATTATAAATACTAACATTTTTACATTTACAATAATTGAATTATTATTTTATTAGAAAAAATAAAGCTCTGTGTAATTTGTTATATTATACAAGTTAATTTATAATTGTATTATTTACCAATTATCTAAAACAATAACCAATATAAAAATAAATTTGGAAACCCTTATCCCTCCCCCCGTAACTACGCCACTGAATATACAAGTGTTAATTAAAAGTATTTGATTTCTAGAATTATGTTTGGAATATTTAGAATAGGTATTTGTTTTTTTCTATATTTATTTATTATTTGTAAGTTAAAAATATTATCAAATATAAAACCATTTCCAAAAAACCAATCCTTGGCAAGCTCGTAAAAATAAATGATTTTAATATTTATATAATTTAAAAAAGATATACGAGTATTGTTAGTGTATTATAATATCATTAAGACGAGTACCTAATAGTTTTGTGCTGGTCTCTAGTGATGAATTTTACAATCGCGATAACTTGGGAATCGATTCGATAGATGGTCCATACTACATCATACACGTATTAATTTGCTGACGAATAGGAGGCTAACACAGGTTGCAACAATAAGATACAATACGCGTCCTCGAAATTCAGATCACGCAATAGAGTGGTACCTAGTTCGTAAAAACGTTTCAAATTATAATTTCGACAATAACAATAATAACTGGCTTCTAAGTTGTAGAGTATATTTAACGTGATTGTGTAAACTAGAGATATTAATCGTAGGAGTCATCTTTAGTTCCCGAACATTACATAAGTTAGTAATTGTTCGGATGTAGACTAGTATATTTTAATGATGGGCAGTGATTTTTTTTGTCAACACCACACGAATTAGGTTAATGACATAAGCGCGTACCTATAACATTTATTCGTCGGAATAGGTAATAACTACAACGTATCAATCACCAAGTTTGCGTTATGTGAATCACATCAGTATACAAGTGATATATAAAATATCTAAATAGTATTATTATTTATTTATTATAATGTACTGCATATAGCTGTAAAGACGTCAAATGTTTCACTATACCGTTCTCTTTGCTTATATTATAAAACATGTACTAGGTAGTACACGATGATTATTGAATTATTATTTTTTTGTGTAGGATAATAAGAATATGTTAAGGACTTAGACAGATGCACTGAAGGTTTTATAATAAAATTCATAGATGAAATTGAAATGTAAATTAAAATGCACGACAGTATATTTTTATGTTAGGTTAGTCAAGAATATTTTTTTGTAAAGTTAGAAGAATAAATTGTTTCCCTATATGGTGGGCGCTTTACCTATTACAAGTAAATTATACGTTAAAATTACCTTATGTTATTACTTGCTTTACATTTTAATTTTACATTGATTTAATATTAAAAATTGTTATAATGTTATATTTGTTTCCGTCGTAATTAAGTGAATATGATATACTATCGGTCACGAAATGACAGCCGATCGACACACACACACTCGCGCACATCAACAGTTATTTTTGTATTTATTTTTGTTTTAATTATATTGTGAATTATATTATATGATAATGAGTTATCAGTGCGTTATCTGCGCCGCCGGTTCGCGTAGAGTTTTAACACATTTTGTCTTTTTCCGTACGTCGTCACGTGAAGTCCAAGAAGGCCGTTAAAATAATATTTCATTTCAAATGCACGAATCGCTGTTCTTTTTTGTTATAACTATTCTTTATATTTTATACCTTAATAATTTATTGCGTGGGCCTTAGTGGCCATATTACTTATTCGTTCCTATTTTATATACGTGTGTGCGAATTGCCACATTTATATTATTTTATTATTATTGTATACATATATTTAGTGTCGCAATCGTTAATTATATTACCATTCTTTATACCGTATTACCTTTATTATATTCGTTTTCTTTTTATGTTTTGTGTAAACTTTATTGTATAGCTATAAGAGAACCAGCTGGCCAGTCTGCGCTCCACAAACCTGTGAGTTCTCATCAATCTCAATTTTTAATTTATAATTATTTTGTTGTTAGGCCAAAAGGGCCGTATATTTATTATTTTGTTAGGCCAAAAGGGCCGTATATTATTGTTTTGCTGCGCCATAAGGCTCGCATATTATTGTTATTATTGTTATTATTGTTCTGCTGGGTCATAAGAATCGTATACTAGTTTTTATTTATATTTGTTTTGGTCATAAGGGCCGCACATTATTTTTGCAAGCATTATTTTTATAATATATTTTCTTCGGTTTAGCCATAAGGGCCGAGCACACATACATAACTATTTTTACCTGTTGGGCCAAAAGGGCCGTAATATTGTTACCATATATTTTTATACCTTGATGTTGCTTGATTTATTATTTATTTATTAATTTATTATTATACAGCAACATAATTACTATTTTATACTATTTTCATTATCATTTAATTACCATTAATGTTCCTATAGTTTTAACGCACAATACACACACTCTTACACTCACCACTCACTACGTAACTCGTCAGATATTCTGACGAGGCTACATTACAAATATACACACATACACATTATAGTCGGTCGGTGGTGTGCGCACGCAAAAGTCGGTGTCCGGAAGTGCGGCATCTATTTTTAGCACCCAGCCCAAACAATAATTCAATAACGATTTCTATAAATCTATGTGCACTAATGGATTTATCTGATATCATTATACAAACATCGAACTTAAATTGTAAATATATAAAATTCATGATTTTGATACTATAGATAAAATTAAAGTTTAAAAGTAGTTAAATACCTGCAGAAATACGACTTCTGACATTTTTAATTATATTTTGTAAAATTAAAAAAAAAATCACTTTTCAGTTATTACATTTATTCTTTATGTATTCAGTTTAAAATAGTATGTTGTTCAAAATAGTTTTATTTAGATAAAATGTTGAATTCTGATTTTTTCGAATTAATAAATGATAAATATTTCGCCTTCAAAAATGTAATGTTTTGTTGTTTCGTTTTATAATTATGAGAATGTGAACAGTCAATTAATTACTTACTAAATAAACAAACAAAATAAAGAAATCAAAAGTAGGATTATGGCTCATGTTTTAAAAAATTAAAATTCTCATTTAAATTGAATTTTACTTTAAATACATTAAGAATCAAATGAGTGGATAAAAAATTTCGCAATATTCATTAGAATATTCTATAATTTATTATAATTATGATGATTTCAAAATATTCATTAAATTCTAATATTCAATAAACCTTATGATAATTCATAATAAAGCTTCATTTCATGTGAGTTATTGTAATATTTATATAATTATTTATAATATAATGTTATTCTACTTTAAAATGATTTTATCGTCGGTAGTTCTATACAAATAAAAATTATTGAAGGAATAAATTGATTTCATTTATTATCTAAAACAATAATTCGTCATTAAAAATACACTTTTCCAACATCAAATACTTAAATTATTATAATATGTTATAATTTAAATTATTAGTATAATTATTTTCTTCTATAGTTATTTTATGAAAAAAACATGTTACTTTTTTAATTATAATTATTTTCAAATAAAAAAAAAATATTGCAAGAAATTAGTGTTTGTTGTAGTAGATTTAATATCTTAAAATAAATAAGTTAAAAAGTTAATAAATAATTTACTTTTTGTCATATAGAAAATATACACACATATTTATATATACACAGATGAGTTTTATTTTTGAAGTACATCAATTGATATTATAAATTTACGTTTAGAATATTTATTTTGTAAAATATTAATTTGAGTTCAATAAATAAAATAAAGTGATTTTAACAAATAAATATATTAATTTAATCGAAATTTAAAATATATTTTATTATTTTTAATAATTTCACATTTAAATTAAAATCGTAGTAGTATATTTTGAGAAATATTTTGATGCATTTATATTTTAAGAAACATGAAAATTATTATTTTAAAACTTATTATTTTTTATAAGTTTTTTCTATACTTTACTGACCTTACCTTACTTTTTTCTTCGATTTATCAATTTACATGATCATATATCAACTTTAAATTTTAAAATTTAATCAAAATTAAGAACACAATATCAATTTTTTTTAACTTAAATTTTTTGATAGCTAATTAATTAATGATTATAAAAAAACTAAATGCTATTTTTATTAATGTGGGTATTTATTATAGTTAAATATGTTGAAATTTAATATCGTATGCACAATAATAGTATATATTGTCATTTAATGTTTTACTCGAACAAAAACTTGCACATTATATTTATTTTAAGTAACAATGAATAATTTAGTTAACAGTTTTTTTTAGCTATTCACTATTGAGATTTTCGTGTTAAAATATAAATATAAGAAAATATTTAATAATTAGTATTTAAACAAGTATAAAAACAACCATAATAATAAATAAATTAATAAATAAAATATTGTTCTATAAAATGAGTTCTAGAATAATTAAATTCATTTAAATATTTTGTTGTATGGTACTTTGTGGAAAAACTGTCGTGTGACCGATTGAAATGCCTTTCCTAAAGCAGATTCAAACGCCGGCTGAACTTCTTTTAAAATTTCTCTCCAGTTTTGATTCATAAACATGTTCATATTGTTTCCTGAACAAAATTATTCCAAAATTAACCGAAAGTTTACTTTTTGGGGGCATGTAATAAAATATATTATTACTTACCTAATAGTTTATCTCCATTAAAAAGATTGTCCAACTGGATGTATAGTCTCGATGTACTGAACTTTAAATCTAAAGATTCTAATTCCATATAATCTTCACCTATTCTTGTGACCGGCTTACCAATAATATTAATTGATACTTTTAAGCTAGCTAAAATTTGAAGTTAGTTGATTAAGACATTTATTTGGTAGTAATTAAATTGTTTAGTTATAAATAGATAGTGATGAGTATACCTAGGGTTAAATTGCTCCTCCCTTCACCTTTAATCGGCAGAATGATAACTTTCCCTTGTATGCTGTACATGCCTTCAAGTATTAGCGGTTCATTGAAATCGGCTTTCAGGTTAAATGTATAGTTATTTATATTTGATCTATCCAAATATCATAACACATTTTTATTTTTTATATATGTTTAAGTGTAATACATTTTAATATATATGTAATTAATATAAAATAGGATAAGGTGAGTTGTAAGTTCTTTACTTACTTCATCGATGTTATTTTAATAGATCCAATATTATGTATATACAGATCTTTGAAGTTAAGTTTGATATCTAGAGGTCCATTTGATGAACCTTGATTTATATCTAACTGTGGTATTATTAGAGGATCAATTGGAATTAATCCTAAACTAGGAACACCTATAAATTATAAATCTTTTTAGTATATTTTTTTTATCAATATTTGTAAAGTTGGCTCTGTATCATAATCTAAATATTTAAATACTAAGTTTTTGAGGATTTTCTGATCGAATAAAATCTTCAATGCTTTTATAACTGTATACATTTACTTATTAAATATCAACTTAATTTTCAGAATGTTTAGTTATAATAAAGTAAGTTAAATAGTGCAATTAAATAATATTTACCTTGGTACCGTAGTTAGTTAAATATTACATTATAACTTTATTTTTATAAGTTTCAAAAATAAATAAAACTATTCTAATGCCTAAATAAATACCCGTGGTGGAAGTATATTATTATTTACTGTTTGTTTAGTGAAAGTTAAACATTTAATTTGTACATCGCATTTGGAGATAATTGATTGTTTTATTTTAACTTCATAGTAATAAAATTGTTTTTAAAAGAATATAAGTTTTTACATGAGTTCCGTGCTCAATATTAGAAGTTATAACATGAACATTGCTTAATTTTATTCATGGTCAAGTTCAAATACTAACATATTTTTAATTTATTGTTGTGTGAATTTCAAACTATAAACTTTACAGGTGCGATTGCGGCAAAAGAGTGAGTAGAAGGATCGAAATTTGTGGTAATTTTATTCCATCCACATTACGTCAACACCATGCTAATATCATCACGTACTCATCTTAGGGCTTCCTGTATTCAAGGTTATGAAAAATGTCATTCTGATTTTTATCACTACGGCCGGAAGTCTGGGTTCAAGGGCTCAAGAACTTACTGTGGATAAGAATCTGAGTATTTTAAATATTTCTATAATAACAAACATGTATCCATAAATTTGATGATAATTTTAGTAAACTACAATATGAATTCTTAAAATTTAGAATATTATGTTTATTATAACACTTATCGGTTTATCTTTAACCTTATTCATACTTACGATTAAAATTTTTTATTGATCATCTTCCAATCCTATAGCTTTATTATGACTAATATCTAATGTTCACTTAAGACATAAGTTATTGAAAATGTTTTTGAGTTATTAAAATTCTAAGTGAATTCTGCACTACAAGGTAAATATTATAAAGGACATGGAAAAAAGAACACAGTACATTTAATTGAAATGATCATTCTATAGATTAAAAAGATATTATTCAAGATAACTATAAATTATCGCATTTTAAATGTTATATTATTGATTGTATGATAAAAATATAAAAAACAATTTTTTTCAACGTTCATACTAATGTATATTGGTATGTTATTTAAATTATTGGTTTTCAAACTATACTTAATTTCAAGTTTTTAATAATTTAGCTTTCCATACTTACTAATTGTTTTATGACGTCAAATGTAATACTAATTGAACAGTAGGAACCTAACCTAACCAGTAGTGAACCAATATAATCTGACTTGGTATATTATTGATGAGAAAATATATGTATTATATGATTTTGATATTGTTTGGAACATAAAAAATGTTAATTTAATTTTTATAGTATTTTTAATATTATCAATTATGATATCAGTTATTAATGATACCTCATAAGATTAATTTTATATTATTTAATCTAATTGTATATTAATAAATGTAATTATTAAAAAAAAAAAAACAGAAGAACATGTGTCTTAAGAATCATTTTCTTACATATATTTATAATATATACTGATGAGAATATTTAAAAACAATTGAATTAATGTACGAGTACTGTATATAGTTCACTCACCTTTAACTAAATTTGGTACGGCTATCTGTATTGCTTGTTGAATACATGTATTAATTTCAGGATCATCTCTTTCACAAGTCACAAATCCTTTAGCTGAAATATTTTTTATACCAATTTGCAGTTATTAAAAACAAGTTTTTGAGACAGATTTAATTAAAAAAAAAAATTACATACGTAGTTTAACAACGGATGTGGCTCGAGTATTTTTGAGAACACACAAGGAACAGTAAAATGCAACTAATATGACAGTATATCTCAAAGTAACCATTGTTCGATATGTATGTGATTTTACTTGCATAAAAACGGATTGACGAGAAATTTTGATCTACTAATACCCAAGTCCCGATTACAGTTGAATTTATACTTTCAGTTTACTATTGGACCGATACCATATGTTTGTAAATATTGGTGGACCTCATGACCTTACGTTTCATTGTCACATGTTTTTAAACAATCCGAAACTGGTAATGATGACTATTATTTCAGTTTGAGTGAGTGATTTCTGAAATCGGACAAATAAAATTAATATTCAGGAAGACCAAAATTAAGATATTAACTATCCAATTATAGTATATATTATTTATATATAGTTATCCATGTATAGTGTTAATTATAACTTATACAGATAAAATGTATTGAAAACGTTTCATTTTGAACAGTAAATGTTCACAATCTTAGTCAAATTTTCAAAAATATCTACACTATGATTTACGTTAAAAAAATATATTAGAAAATTAATTATTCGAGTTTAATAATTCGCAATAGTGTTTTACTGAAATGACCACGTTAATTTTGACTATTTCATATAAGTGATAAATATATAAAATAACTTTTTTATTATTGATTGTTTGCAGCATGTACTCAAAATAAAATTTCGAGTTTAATAATCCTAATTGTTAAATTGTCTTACATATTCTTCGTAAGGTCTTACCAATAAATTTGAAGAAATCTATGAAGGCTTTTTTGTATAATTTCCAGTTTTTATTTACTATACGGTTTTAAAGGTTTATTTAATACATACAATTGTATATTTTAGAAAAAAATTAATGATTACCTATCATAATACATAACAAACTATTCAATGATTTAATAAAAGTCTTTACTCAAATGTCAGAAACAAATTATTACCTCTAATGTTGTTTTCTATATTTTATATCCTATTAATTATTATAATTGTTTACATATATTACTACATTTCTATTAAATAATTAGGATAGGTAGTTAATTACGTAATGTTTATGATTAGGAATCTGTTTTATAATTTTTGTCATTACACTGGTTAAAGGTGTACTAATGAAATAAACCTTGCCTTAAAGATCATGTAAAATAAAAAATTGTCATTAACGAAAATTTTTTAATTTTTGATAATATATCAAATAATGATTTAATAAAACGATGATTTATAATTAAAGTTTTGAATTAGTTTTACGTTTTAAAATGAGGATAAATTGCAATTGTTATGCTACATTATATGTTGATATATAAAAATCTACAGTATAATCATTGGATTTCGTTTAAGATTTAAACAGTCCATATATTGCATTAGAATTACGGAGATACTATATTTTATTTTGAAGTAATTAAAAAAAAAAAAAAAATACTTTTTATTAAATATTTGCTTCAAGTATCTTATTACATGATTTTATTTACTTTTAAATCAGGAACGAGGAAGTTAAGAACTATATTTTTAATTTTTAATTTATTTACTATGATCTGATCAGTATGATGTCCTTCTTCTTTTAACCGCAATGATAACTATTGTATAAGTTTGATTTATCACCCGTCTATTTGTTTGTTGTGATTTAGCATGATTATTAGAATTCATTAAACAATTAGACATTTTTGTGGTGTTATTATTAGTCAATATATCATATGTTCTAGAATTTGAATCTATTATGCTATTTTATCCATTTACTAAGATTTTAGTACTATACATATATAATTATGAAATAATGCAAATATGTAGTACGAGATAAGTAGATGTTATGGCTATCACTGTCGTTGTCGTTTGAAACTTAAATATAACTATCATAAGAAACTTTTAAATTTCAAAAAGATATGAAAGATAGTATAAGTTAGGAAAGATAAGAACAATAACGTATAACAAGTAATTGTCGGATAAAAACAGGTTATTTTTCTATACTGACTAAATTCTCATCAAAGTTTTCCATAAGAAAGTACTTACAATTTAGAGTCATGACTAGGACTCGGAACTAAATGCACTAAAAGTACTAAATATGCATGCACTTATAGGCTTAAAAAAGTACTAATATGCTCTAAAAATATGCACTTAAATTTAATTTTGTACACAAAATTTTCATTTGCATAAATATTTAATAAAATAATAAATATAGAAAAAGCAAAGTAATAAAAATAATTCTGATTTTTAATTTTTAATCATAATTTAAAATAATAATAATAATAATAATAATAAATTAGCTTTAAAAATGTTTCTTGAATAAAAAAAAATCCCCTGGAAGAATGTTCAATAATCATTGAGTTATTTATAGAAAATCATCGTATTTCGATAGCAGCTGTACCTATTTGATAGTTGTATAATATTTTATTTTAGATAAAGCTAGCTGTAGTTATAATTTATAAATATATATATATATATATACCATATTATTTAACCGATAGGGGAAAACAGTGTTTTTAATGTCAAATGGAAATTTGAAAAAGACGATACAAGAATATCAAGAAAGTTCTCTCAATATGAATGTATATTATTTTTTTATTTTTTTAATTTTCATATTGAATCTTCAAAAATTATAAAATATGCTCTAAAAAATTGTAAAATCTAAAAATCACTAAAATGCAAAAAATATGCACTATAAACTTTTAATATACTTTTCATATTGTCTTGGAATGAATTTTTAGTTCACTTAGCAATAAATCCAATGGTGCAAGAAAAACATGCCAATACAATAACTTCCGAGCCCTAGTCATGACTCATGTTTGCATTTTTTATAATATTTTATACTTAAGAGAATACTTAGCATGAGCATATCATAAATCATAACCAACCTTGTTGATAAATAATATAAAATTATAAAGTATACTTTTAAATTAGTTATATCGACATATAATTTAAATACGGTTTCATTAGATTTTGTTGTATTATTCACATTAATAGGGACAGAAAACTCAGTTAAGACATAGGTACTCTTTAATCTTGAAGAATCTTAAGCATATTGAAAAAAAATGTTTCTATCAGTTACTGATATTTTGACGTAAAGTTTTTAAATCGAAATTGTAAGTTTATATAAATTATTTTTTTTTTAATATTAGATTAATTAGCATTTTTTTAATCTCAAATCATTTTTTTATTTTGCTTTAGATACCAGTTTTTCCAGAATTAATTCTTTTTGAACTTAATGAATCAACATTAATATTGAGAGTTGTTATTTTATGAATTTGAATAGAAAAGCAATTGGTATTGTGAATTTGACTACGAATGTTCAAATAGGTAGGTACTTCATGTTTATTACCAGAAATCAAACAAATATCTAAATTGCTGTTTTTATAAGAATAAGAGATAACAGGATTTTCGACAGCTGAGTCTTAAAATAGTTTTAAGTAAATCATTATTTATATTAAAATCAATGATTACATTGACATAATAATATCATTGTGTTTAAAAGAACAACTGAAGGTGTTAGTTGTTATAGGGAAACGTTGATATTTTTGGAATTTGTTTCCATGATAATTTCATATTTGTATACCATATTAACTATATTATATATATTTATATATTATTATATATTATTACCTAACTATATTGTGTATTTAAACCAGGGACCAGAACCGTAATCGAAAAGAACTGGTACTGAAACCGGTTAACCTTTAAAATTCAGGAATCGTAACTGAAACTGAAACCTTTATTTCCAAAATTGAAAAACCGTAACCGTAATCGTAACCTTAATTATAAAAGGGTTAATTTAGGTCAGTTATTTAGACTAGTAAAACTATAGTAATCACTATTTTGTTTGTCCATTTTTTTGGTTCAGAAAAATTAAAGTCAAATCTTCTTATGTATTTATTTTATTTTGTTGTAAACTGTAATAATGTAATGCATATAATAAGTAAATTTGTAATATTATTATTATAATTATTTTTGTATGTTTATTAATATATTACAATTCACAATGAGTATATATCATCTATCTTTTCTATTAAGTGTTAAATATAATTAATTTTTATACAAATATGTAGCTACAACAGTAGCCAGTATTAACTTTGATTCTTAATTAAAGTTAAATTTTAAATTAAAGTTAAATTAAATTTCATCAAATCATAATATTTCACAATATTATTACAAAATATTTTACAAATTCTTACTATGAGTTGGAATAAAATAATTTAACCTAACTCAAAGAAATATAATAGGCTGATATAATATAATATATATATATATATATTTAATATATTTATATTTTTTTTTTAACTATTCATAATACCTTTTATTTTCACAACAATTACAATTTAAACAAGAATAAATAAATAATTTCATATTATTTTTTAATAAATCTCTAATAATCAGAATTAACCGAAATTAACAGGTTCTAGAACCCTTACTCTTTTAAAAAACCGAAACCTAAACCGGAACCCTTAAATAATTAATTGAAGAACCAAAACCGAAATCGAAACCGAAAAAACCTATAGTTTCCAATATATAAAATAAAATATATAAATAAAATCCCTGATATAAAACATACGATAGCACAAATAAGGTGCAACAAACTTTAATACCAATCCATTCTTCTTTCTTAATGGCACACATATAATTTTTTCCGTTAACTCCATATTCAACGAGTTCCTATTATAATTTTTTACTTTTATAAATCATATATATTTTTTACTTATACATATTAAGCTTACATTTTTTCCCGAAAGTTCTCAGTACACCACCTTTATATACAAAAAACAACCGTTAACGCAAAATATTAAACGCTAATATATGATTTAGTTGGCTGCAATACCTAAGATATTATCAAAAAAAAAAAAAAAAACTTCGGAGTACAATTATTTTTGACTTTAATTGATACAGTTTAGTTTAGCTGAAAAATTACTTTTAAGGTTTTCAGAAAGTAGTTGATAAATTTAACTTTTTACAACCACAAGTAATTCTAAAATTTAATGGAGATAACCTTGTAAAGGCTTCTTATGATTTAATTTTATTTAGTGTTGTCAATTAAATTTTAAGTTCAGATTTTACAAGATAAATGTTTCTTTTAAGAATGTTATAATTGATTCATTGTCAACTATAATGTGGAACACCATATATTTGGAATATGTCTTGCAAATTATATTTAAGAAAATTTTATGGCTTCTCTATTTAAACATATTAACTGTCTGTATTATTATATTCATATAATATCTTATATACATACCTATATAAATATCATTACCGGTCATTGTTGCGTCAGCAGAGGGGACCTTTTTTAAAGCTTAAAATTATTAAAAAAAATCTAAGAAATTCAATGTGACAAGAACTCGAGAATTTAATTTAAATAAAATTATTAATGGCTTTGTTAATTAAAATATAAGAAAACCATTTTTTGGTAAGTAATTGTTAACCGAACATTTTATTTGTAGAATATGTTTTATATGTTAACTACATATGCAAAATACCTAACATTTTGTGTGAGTGAAGTAATATATACTATAGTATATTATTATTATAATATAATGCATATAACTTTATATTTATTCAAAAAAGGGACAATTTGAATAAACGAACTTGAATAAATAATTTATTCACTAAAATGTTTTTTATAATTTTAATAATTTTATAGTATTATGAGATTAAATCATAGGCATGCGCACGGGACAGCAAGGTTTACTTTTACTGTTCCTGAACGGTTTGGATAGATTTGAAAGGGCTAAACAGATTCTAGCTAGGCCACTGTAAATGTTCAGTATAAAGTAGGTTGGTAAGCGGCACTGGCAGTAGAGCATTTAAATAATTTAATTATTTTATTTTTAATTAATTTATAATGAATAGTTGATACTTTGTACTCAGTAAAAATACAAAATTATTTGAGATTGTATTTTAATTAAAAACCTATTATTAAAACGAAGAATGGAGAACCAGATTTGTAACGTTAAGGCAAGGCCTTTAGTAAAGAAGAAGAAGAAGAAGAAGAAAAAAAGACTATTATTAAAATTATAATATTAATAAACGATTATCACGATGTTTTTTTCGATATTTTATTTTTATTTTGATATGTTTGAAAAATGGAAAAAACTTAAGTATCCATAATTTTTAAATTAAATTATTTATGATATATAATATTTAAAATATTAAAATATTTATGAAAAAATGGAAATATTAAACCCTTATTTAATTTCAAAGTGTTATTAATAAAACATTTTAAGTTAAAAAATTTGGTTAATATATAAAAATCATTATATTTAACATTTCATATTACGTGAAACGTAAATACATTATGTTTCATGTGTCACATGTATTAGAAGAAGCAAATATATACCTGGAAGTTCAACTATGGGTAGGTACTTAAACAAAAAAAAATAGTGTTGTAGAATATATAATTGATATTTCTTTAGCTATTCTTTTTTGGGACTGTTTATCCATTTACCAGTCAATTATAATTTTATAACATATAAGTTAAGTGTGATACAAGAACCTAAATTATATTTTATTGTAAAAATACAATAAAACAAAACATATTATTACAAAAAAGATCATAATATATTGTATTTATAAATAAACAGCAGGTACATATATAAAAATAAATTAAAATAATGTTTATTAAATAAATTATAGTATAATAAATATCTACTCTTGGAAAACTTGATTGAAAGGTACTTTGTGGAAGAATTGTTGTGCGATTCCACCGAATGCAGCAGCTAAAGCATTTTCAAAACTTGATTGCAATTCACCTAAAATTTCACTCCAATTTTCATTTAAAAATGTATTCATGTTGTTTCCTGTAACAAAAAGTTTGTATTGACTTGTGTTATTTGTTAGATTAATTTTTGAAATTTGTAAAACTGCAAATAAATATAGATTTATATTGAAATATATAAACTAACCAAGTGCTTTATCTCCTTTGAATAAGTTGTCCAGCTTCAAATGCATTTTGGTGGTGGTGAACTTCAATACAATTTCACTAATGTCCATATAGGTGACTCCATTTCTTACAACAGGTTTCAAGTAAAGATTTATTTTGGCTTTGAGATTGTCTATAAATAAATTTTACTGTTAGCGATTATTTTATGATTTTGAAATAATTTTACATACCAAGGATGATTTTGCTTAGTCCGTCTCCAGTGATCGGTAAAATGATAACTTTTCCCTTGACATCGTAATGTCCATCGAGTGTTATGGGCTTTTCAAATTCCAAGTCAAATGTGAAGTGATTATTATTCAGATCAGCACTATAACCATAAATATCATTTACTTTTATGACTTCCTAAAAAAAAAGTGAAATTTTTACTTACGTGACTTCTTTAATTATTACAGTTCCGATGTTGGATATGTCTAAATCCCTAAAGTTGAGCTTGATGCTGACAGGCCCACTTCCTTGGTCTATTCCCAATGCCGTGATCCTTAATGGATCAATTGGGAGCAATCCAAGACTCGGAACACCTGCAATTTATTATTTTATATATATAAATATAATTCATAAGAAAAATAAAGGTATATAAAAAAATAAATATACCTTTTACTAAATGTGGGACTGCATATGACAGAGAATTCTTTATACATTCACCTAGTTTTGGATCGCTTTTTTTACATTGCACAAAACCTTTAGCTGCAAAAGAAAAAAAAAATGTTTACTTTAGCATTCAGAGCAATTATAAGTATTTATTTATTTCGTAGTTTATGATCATAATTCATTATCTTATATATTACCACTATCTATTAGATAATTAATTTCATCATTTATATATTATATTATTTAATTATCATTAAAAATATTATTATTTTTCTAGGTTATTATGTATTGATAGTAAAAATTATAAATTACTATAGGAAAATTAATCAAAGTTGTAAGTTAATATTAATTACGTAAGAGTATAATTTAGAAGATTAGTGAACAATAATAAAATATTGTTCATTTTATCACAGTTTGTTAAAATATCAAATTTAGTGTCATATTTTATATACTTTATCTTTGAGAGTAAAAATTTCCTACCAATATTTTCTATTGAATGTTCAATGTTTGCTTTGAATATTTTTTTGTTTGAGAGTATGCATTTCGTACAGATTTTTCAACAATGTATGATATTATAATTTATAACAGTTAACCATATATCTTTGAGAAATTGTTCAATTATTTTTTAAATTATTTTACTGTAAAGATTTTGACCTGAGAACCTTGAAGTGATGTTCCACAATTAAAGGGGCTGAACGTCACATACAAAAAATGTGTGTCAAGAGTAAATATGTTCATTGGTGTCCTTGTAATCAAATTTCAATTTTCGGAAATAATATATATTTTTAATATTATTTAATATCTATAAGCTTCAACCGAATGCATTTATTTTAATAAAATATTATTTCATACAATTAGAAGTCTAATAACACAAATATAATGATATTTTTACTTGGTATGACAATAATTGGTATGAAATAAAAATAAATGTAAAAAAAATTTTAATGAGTAAGCTTTTTATAAAATTATAATGTATTTAATATGATTTGCAGATTTTTCCTACTATTATTTATTTTGACAAAATTTTAATGTTATATATAAATCACAATAATAAATTAAGAATAATTGATTGTTTAAAATTAAATTTAATAAACCTCAAATAATTTTTTTTTCATTTATAAATTTAAAATGTTGTGCTCGAGATTGATGATTGTATGCCATCATATATGATTAATAAGTATAAATATTTATTTTTATCTAATAGCAAAAAGTAATTTATCCGATACAGGAAAATATAGCAATAATGTTAAACTATTTTTTTTTTGCTTATAAATAGTGAAAAATGTTTTAATGTAGGTATCCACTTATATTAATTTTGAGCAAAACAGTTGAAGTTATAATTTTCATTCAGCCTTGAACAACTACGTATATGCCAAATGTAGAGTGGTCTTGGAAAGTCAGTTTATCTCGATATCATATGAACATCTAAAATGGTCAGGACATTGCAGAAAACTTGAAATTTAACTTGATACAATTGGATTTGTTCTTGGATTTATTATAAATTATAATAGTACGTTATGCTATATTGCAATATAATAATAGTATTAATATAGTTTATGAGATTCATCGTAAAATTTAAGTACGCTGTACCATATTACAAATACCTGTGCTGAAATTAACTCTTAGCATATATAAGTATCTGTATAATAAATATTATGACGAATGCTCACCAAATTCGGCAAAAATGAATACAATAAATATTATCATGTTACGTAATTGTAATTTTTTCGAAAGAACACAATTATTTATTAGTCGTGTTTTTTTTATGTTTCAAATTACAAATGTAATAGTTTTAAACTGCAAATCGTTTAGAAACGAATTTCATAATGAATATAATCCATTATTATTTCACACGATATTAGTTCACGAGCTTGTTTTTGTGGCGTAATATGCGTGCATAAAACCCTTTTCGTTTCGGTTTTGAATGAGCTGTATGTAGTACCTATGATTTTATCTGAGATTTTAGATTTTATAGCTTTAAAAAAATTGAATGATCTTGAATTATTTAATAATTATTGCTTAATCAAAAATTATACTTTATTGTAACATCATTATTGAATCGTTGTAATGTTATATACAAGACGGATAGTAATGTTTATACAATAGTATATATATGATAGCAATTTTTATCTGTTAACTTATTCAAAATGTGTAGATAATTAGTTTCAATATTTATTTTTGTGTAACGGTTTTTGATAAATGTTTAACACCATGAATATTTGTAAATTTTAGGTTGTATCTCGGTGAAAAATTTAAGATATTTGAACTTTCAAAATAAGTTTTGTATAAGTATATATTTTATTATGGAAATTATCAAATAAAAAAAAATATTTTTTTGATTATGTTTAAAATGTTTATGAATTATTTTAATGAATTTATATATAGCTGAATATTTATCTGGAAACTAAAATTATTCTATAGTATTCTTAGTAAAGTTTTTAAAATTATTTTATTTGACGAATTAGTGATCAATATAATTATATAACACAGGTAGTATAAAAACACCTAAATTATTACTATTTTAAAATAAATGTGATAATATATATTACCATAACTGATAATACTTTAGTTTTTTATTCAGGAAAAAACGAGCTCCTTTCAAATTTGTATATGGTGTATAATTATTTGTCCTATTAATACATAGTTGTATTTTGTTGACTAGTTCTACATATTTAAATTTAAATTGTAAACCCAGAGACACTCATACACACTCGTGAACATTTTATTATACAGAATTATTTTTACTGTTATCTTTGTATAAATCAATGTAATTATCCCTTATATTTTTTCAGTTTATAAATATTTCGTAAATTTAATTTAAAATAAAAAATGTAATTCGCTCAACAATTAAATCATTATATTTTTTGTCTTAAAATTATAAAGCAAAAACTTTTACTTATACGTAAATCAGTATTATTTCAGTAACTCTTCATCGTTAAATCAAAAATATTACTTATTTATTTATTTATTTATTTAAGAGAGTGTACAAAGAATTCAATGTATAGTTAACTTAAGATTATGATTAGTAATATAAAATACAGTTTACAGTTACAGTTTTAATCTCCGAATTGTGTATCTTGGCATTGAGAATAGTTTTAATTTTGATATCGAACTAATATAACTAGATTAAAGTTATATCTAAAGTATCCAGTATTATATAAAAAAGAAACAATAAACAAGTAAAGTAATACTTAATATTAATATTACATTATTATGCTTAAGAAAAATTTTTTTGATGATTTTAGTATTTTTTGCTTTGAAAATGTTGATGGATTAAATCTGATTGATACTCACGTAATTTAACAGTGGCTGGTGCGGCTAAAACGATTCCAATGACGCACACAAGACAGCTTGCAATATTCCAAGTATTGGCCATCATATTGTGCGTGTTTATTCGGTGAAGTCAAAGGAAAATTCTCCGCGCTCAACAAAGGGCTATGGTTGACACGGGTGCCGGTTAAACATTGACCTGCAGTGTATGGCACCTCTGTTTTATTGGATTCACAAATGCGTCCTTCCCTCTCCACTAAAACTACTGTCCTCCACATTATTACCACTCATCTACGGATCGCAAAGTATTATAGACGTTACCGGAAGGTAGTACATCGTGTCGTTCGTGTATGAACGAGTTTTTTAGCCTTGTATCGAGTACTGAATTATAATTATAATAAACATAATTTGTTGCCGAATAAGAAAAAATAAAATAAACCTACTCCTCCTACTCCTAGGTTTTGCAATAATTTTATGAATTATTATGTAGAACAATAAGGATATTTGCATTGATTGATTGGGAATTTCTATTGGGTAATCTTCCGAATGTGAACGTGACACTCGGATCAAGGTGTGTAATTTTATATTTATATTTATATTTTACATACTTATCTCGATATTTTATTTATAGAGATTGGAATCGATATCGGGCGATCCGCCGAAGAAGAAAATAAAAACCAAAAAATGGTTGATTTTAGTTCCTGATGGTCTACTTGAAAAAAATATCAGGAGCAGTTTTCCAAATGGTTTTTGTCGTTACGTAATTCAACATCATGTAATGCAACACTAGCCTATAGAATCCAAATCAAATAATTGTTTAAATTGTTCACTATCAAAATTATTATTTACCATCTTAAAATTAGTAAAACGTAAATAAGAAAAAATTTGTGGAATTGTTTTAATGCAGAATGTTTTAATGTATTCCGAAATAGGTAGGTAAGTAACGTGACTGCAGATAAGAAATTAATTAAAATAGTACTCATAAAATATTATTTTGAAATTCTTTAAAGTTGTTGAGAACTGCTAACAAAAATAACGATTAAATTTACATTTGAATTATTTAAATTAAGAGTTTGAACCGATTATTAAATAATCAGACAAATTTTGTCTTTGATTCTCGTAGAGAACATAGCATAGTATGCAAGGGTAAGGAAATGTGTACCTAATTTATTCGTAATCAGGAGGTTAAACAGAATTAAAATTAATTAATTAGTTAATAATTGTTCTACTATGTCCTAGTATTAAGTACTTTAGATATATCTTAAATCGTGATATTTTAGTATATATGTTTTGAAAACGTGCGTTTTATCTACAATTTTATCGACAGTTTCACATTGGTTTTTCGATAATGTAGTCGTACTAACTCGTAAGTATTTTAGTAGTTGTAAATACATCGCACGTGAGAGTTGCACACCATGCACTGCATTCGTCAACTGTCGAAAACTGATTGTAAAAAATACAATACGTGGTTTACTCTTGTTATTATCAAAAGTCACGACATAATATGATTATTTAATTATCTATTTAGCTATTAACTTTGTTTTCGGAACGAAAATTCGGGGACACTCAATACAGCTATACCCGAAAAAATTGGGACCAAATATTTTTCGGTTAGGTCGGTCCGGCTGGTTCGGGTCTAGTGTATGCGCGGCTTAACAATATCTACTATACGGTTCAAATCTTTACGATTAATATTTGTATATAAAATATTTTTGGTTATCAAAATTCGTGTTGGTAAATATTGAGTACTTAGTTAAAAAAATTACGTTTGTATATTTGATTTCGTTAAAATTAAATTTTCTCATGCTTATAAACATTTTATGTTTAATTTGTAATCAATATTTATTGAACTTAAAATGGTATATATTTATAATTACAAGAAAAATGTAGATTTTCAAAAATGCTGTCGAGTTTTGTCAACATTTAAAAGTCTAATAACTTAAAAAAAATGTTCACTACATATATTCGACATTTTTTTACTCCTGTACAAAATTCGTATAAGAAATTCATACAACTTTTTTAAATTGAAGAACTTTGTTATTTTATCAACAATTTACTAATAAAAACTAAGAAAACATGACAAATTTAATGTTTTTAAGATTATTATTTTTTGCGTTACGATGACGAATTAACTTGTCATAAACCTGTAAAATCCCGTAAAATTCACAGATTTTTGTATGTTTTTGCCTATTTCTTTTAATCAGTTGAAAAATAGTTAGAAAATTAAAAAAATTCTTCCGAGTACACTTGCTAAACAACATTTCTTATCAGAAGAAAAAAAAATATGATAATCCATGTAACCATTCTGATCGAAATCTCATAGACAGGCATATAATAAAAACAAAATTAAATTAAAAAATAAGAACAAATAAAAAAACATACTTTATTGTAGAATCAAAACATTTCGCCTTTCGTTCAGAATGTAAATATATAATACGGAATATCAAAAATAACGATAATAAGTGGTTTTTCTGGTTTCTTATTAATAACATCTGAAATTTTAATGTCAAAGACCTGCTGAATATTTCATACAAGTTTATTAATGCGTTACTTTAAGAAAAAAAAGTAAATAAACGATAAACGAAAATTATAATTTGTATTGATACGAGTACTTAACAAAATTAATGTTATTAATATAATAATTCGGTTGTGTCTCTATTAGATGTACAGTGCATATACTTTATTATATTGTATTTTTTTTTCAATCCTCTTTTTGTATTATTCCGTTACAAAGTGTTTTAGATGGAAATGTATTAATATTATAGAATCACTTTTAACATAACTGTCCAGATGTCATAATCACCGATTAAAAGCTTATAATAATAATAAAAAAAAAAGAATCAGTTTCTTAATTTTACAAAAAATCATTCAGGAAGTGAAAAGTAAAAATATTTAATTCACCTGACGTGCTGGACAGTTGGTTCATATAACGAATGTTAATGTTAGTATTCATGTATTCGTGTATAACAAGTAGTAATATATACGGAAATAGGTAGTTTTATGAACAATACAGTAGAAATACTAAACAGTTTTTAATTTTTAAAAATACCTAGTATATTATAAATATATAAATAAATAAACTTTATATTTACGAGTATTAACCATTTTTTTATTTTATTTTTATTTTACTATTATTCTCTTATAATCAAATCTTATGTACATGGCTTATAAGTTCATGCATTTGCATATCAATCTTGCAAAGTTGTATTTAATGCTAGATGACATAGAAATCCATTTTAAGATACCACAGTTAAATATGTGAAATCTTATTTTGCATGTTTATGCATACTTGGTATGTTTTTGTATATTTGGCATATTTATGCATATTTCTATTTTATTAGGCATATTATACATTCTATTAGAATCTATCAAAAATTTAAATGGAAATTATATATAAAATTGAAAATATATATTGTATTATCTTTTCTTTTTTTATCTTCTTGATTCTCGTACATTTAACGAATAAATTTGTTCCAAAGTATCAGATTTAAAATAAATTACTGACAAAGACGTAGGTACATTATACGCAGTTCATGAAGTCTCAAGAATAGTTTTAAATAGTATTTAAAATCTATTTTTTTTTGTAATTATGGTAAGAAGAATAAAATATACTATAAAAAAATGAATAGATAATTCATGTTAATTCAAAAATTATTTATGATTTTTTTAAGAAAGCATTTTTTAAGTGCATAATTTTAGATATTTCGTGCATATAAATGCATATTTTTAACTTTTTAAGTCATATTTCAAAGCATTTTTTACCAATTTTAAGTGCATAAAAGCATGCTTATTTAGGCATTTTTTAGAGCATGAACTTGCGAACCTTGCTTATGTAGTTCTCTACGATTGTAGTCTATTTGTCTATTTTTTCGTAGAATTTTTTAATCTATGAAAATAATAAAAATTTTAATCACGCATTTTATAACACTAAAATTGAAAACTATTTATATTCAATATATTATAATATTAAACTATATTACCTGTTAACATTTCAATAACAAAATATTTGACGTATAATGTATACTAGCGAACAAATAAGGACTACATTGTAATTAAATTTATGTTCAATTAAACAATAATAACGGTTGCCAAAATGCACATGTAATTATATAAAATGTATGATAAAACAAAAGATAACCACAATATCTTTCCAAATTTGGACGAATAATCTATCCGAATTTTTAATCTTATTAAGTCGTTAGGTTTATCGCATAAAGACCGGATTGACATTTTTTCTATTTTATTTTTCTATGTTAATTGTGACACTAACGATTTATGTTAGATTTAAAGATTTCCCGTCTAAATAGGCAAATAATTCACGACACTTCATTACTAATTTGTATTTTTCTTCTACAATAGTATTTAACCGTTCTTGTAAGTATATGAATTCTGATGAATCCACCGCTGATTACGATGTACACGATTATATGTATAAGTTTAAGTGTATCGTACCTCAATAAAAAAGTATGCGCAAAACGTATTGGAAACTAGTCATTTAAATAACTCTGTTATCACCAAGCGTAATATGGTAGAATATGAATTTCTAAAACTTTGTTTTAAATATTTTATTTACGTGATAGAGTTTTGCATATTCAGTATGATCAAATTAAATATTAATAAAATTTAAAGATCAGTTAAACATGATTCTCTCATATTTTTTCATAATATTTTATTTTTAAAGATTTAAGTACAAATATACATTATTACATATTTCCTGGCATAATTATTAACTATCAAACACAACTAACCAAAAATCTATAATTGAGGTTATAAGAGCAAAAGTGACCTAACCCTCCAAATATATTGTTAAAAAATTTGCTAGTTTACTGCCTAGATACTCTAAATATAATAATTATTGTTGTTAACTGATAATTACACTTCTAAAAATTAGCATATTTTTGTGAAAAAAAAAATCATTTAAAATGCATATATTAACAAAACCCTTGTAACTTCTATGTAACATGTAACACAATAGTGGGTTAAGCTATTTTTGCTCTCATAGATTCAATTATAGGCAAATAGATTTCTATTAAAATGTTTACTTGATTGTATCGATGACGTAGAAGCAGTGGAACACTAATTTGTTTTTTACAAATATGTTACGACACAGTTTGATAACTGATTCAATATAGTGACGTCAGGTTGTTTATTTAAATATTCTTTGAATGTGTGCAGTATTCTCGAGCTTAACATAACAGTGAATTGT